AACTGAGCGTCTTAGGTGAAAGGTAGCAAGAAAATAACGGCTAAAAGAAAAACAAACGTGAATAAGAGATGATTACCGATAACCTTTATTGTTTCATCCAGTGCTTCTAAGATCTTTTTTTCTTTCTATCCTTGTGTTCATCAGTGAAAAATAATCCCAAATACTAAAACTTGTTGTTGGAAGTTTTCAGATTTAGAAGCTAATCAATATCTGTTTTTGATTTTTGTCAATGCAATGAAAAGAAAAGTACAGCTTATAGTTTATATCGTATGTCTGTCATTTGATATGCCCTTTGCATTAAAGTTATTTTATCCTACTATTAAATTGATCAGAGTATAATGTAGCCCAGCGTTTGGCATGGCAGATCACTAAGCAGACACTGGTGGTGCTTGGTTTCATGCTATGATGTTCAGAGCTATTTGTTGCATTGCATTGCTTTGGGCCTCTATTGGAGCGCTGTGGGACCGAATAGGTCAGTCTTCCCACAATGGGACAGTTGTATGGTGTCGCCTGTAATACAATATGAAGGCTATTGCACTTTCACAGAAGCTTTCAATAACAAAGCTCCCCACCTTGCCATGATAGAAAAACAAAACTGGTCCATAGACTGAAATCAATGGGCGCAGAGAAGCCATCTAAACACGAGAACAGCGATCAGTCAAACAGAGAGGGTGAGAGAGTGTCTGCCTCTCACTGTGTCTGTCGTTGTTGAGTCACTCACTGTGGTTTTTTGTGATGCACAGTAATCTTTTCATCATGTATCAACATTTCCCCAGCCAAGTATTTGCAGAACTCTACACGCACTCGACACTTGTTGAGTTTTCCACACTCCTTGCTTTGATATACTGTCCGCACTTCCAGGAACCTACAGTGCTATCATTGTAACTAACTGAATTCCTTTGAGGAAAACATTGAGACAGCCTTGAAAGCAACAAGTTTCAGAGGCGAGTACCACTCCATTTGCATAGTACTGCCAGTGTGTGGTGGAGGAAGTAACATACATTTAAAAAAGGCACTTCACAGTAGTTTTAAGGCAGCAGCTAAGGCTTCATAATGTTGTGTAACTTGAAAATACTGCTAGAAGAGACTGACAAAGGGAACACATGCCAATATAAATACTCATCCATTCATTATCTATACCACTTCTCCATTCGGGGTCGCAGGGGGCTGGAGCCAATCCCAGCTGTCATTGGGTGAGAAGCAGGATACACACTGGACTGTTATAGTGGCTCAGTTTTACAAAATAAACTCAAAACTAGATAACCGTTTGATTAAATCTGTCGGCCATCTGTGTGGACTTAATATGTACTGGGTTTCCTCTGAATTTCATCCCTACACATCTACCTTATCTGTATCTGTTTGCCCTGTGTTGGACCTTTGACCCGTCCGGGATGTACCATGCCTTTCAGGAAATGCAAAATGAGATAGACTCAAGCCCTCCCAGTGACCCCGAACAAGATGAGCTGTATAGAAAATTGGATGTATGCATGAATACTTGCTCATGCATATAACTACATCTGTTGTGGCGGCACAAGTCAGAAAGTCAGTTAAGTCTTTCGGGGACTGAATGTCATTGGACTGGAGGACAGATGGTCATCTCATTGCAAGACATTTAAACCCTGTTCCATTAAGTTTTCCAGACTTCCACAACATTATTGAGTTTAAATCAGACTTTAATATTTGTTGCATGCATGAGGCTCGTAAACAACTCATTAATATTTAAAATATCTAAATTGTGAGATTATCCAAAGCACTTTACAGCAGTGGTGGTAATTACAACATACTTACATCCAGTCAGTAGTAATAACACAAAAAATAAAATATGCAATTGCTTCCTTTTAGACTGACCATGAATTTTTCATTTTGTCTGCAGGATTTACATGATTGCAAAAAGTAACACAATTTGGTGGCACTTTACTAGAGGATTATAGCCATCAATATTAGACGAGCAAGTTCTCCCCTAACCTAATGAAATCCTTGGATGTATGCCCACATTAGGAGAGGAGACTGATAAGGAATAATTGTGACCTCTTGTTCCTTTACTGTTAAATTGCTGCATTGGCCTGAAGTCACAAAGACGTCATGTTTGACCAAAAAGTCACCTCTACACTGCTCTACTTTGTTAGCAACAGTAGTTATCTAATTGGAATTGAGTATTGTACGCTTTCTAAATATATCTAAGCTCATTAAATGTTGGAATACGGACTATTTGTTATAAGTGAAAGGTAGCTACAGACAGGTAGACCATCAGCCTGTTACAACTTTTCAAACATTATTATTACTTCAAGTAGGCGTCCTAGCAGAGGTGGCGTTAATATTTGCATTGTTCTGTTTGTAGTTGAAATAGCTTGTTGTCCACTGAGGCAGTTTCTCTGATGAACAGAGATAGGGTTCTTTATTGCCTCAGGACAAGCACTCTAGAAGTACCATATCTCATTTTCTTTGTGGTAACTTTGGGGACTTTTAGAAGGCAAGCTGCAGCGAGCCTGAGGGTGTACGTGAGGGGACAGAAAATGATAGACGGCGTGGGGGTGCAGGGAGGAGTCAAAACATTTAGTGCCTTAAAAACCTTGAGGAGGACCGCATTATGTTGCAACCTGCAGCAACACATACATTTTTGATGACACATTTTTTGCATCGACAATCCCATGTCCCTCCGTTTCGTTTATGTCTATTCTATTCCTTTCCAACACTATTAGACGGGAGGTAAACACAAAGCAGACAGCAGACATATTCCACAAACATCTGCTGCAAAGTTTCCAATTTGCATTCTGTTTTAATTAGTGCACCTTCTCAGTTGAAGGTATTTATTATTGAAGCCTCCTGGCTTGTTTTGTGAACTGTGCTGTTTTACCCACTTTGGATATTAGTGTATTTGTTTGTTCTCACTAAATCAAGATTCTTTTTCCTCTAATGATATATATATATAATGGTTTTAGACATGAGAAGTCAATTTCAAGACTTTCTAGACCTACCTGTGGGTGCCTGATCAAAAGAATGCAATGAAACATGTTGCTGGAATCAACAAAGTTTCAAAAGTATTTATGATTTAAAAAGTGTCAAATGGGAGTTTTTTAGCTTTAATTTTCCAAGGTGAAGCACAGCTGTTAAACAAATGTGTGGCATTTAGAGATCTTTTTGACTCTCCAACCACTTGAGTAGTCTGATTGTACCCTATTTTTAGTTTAATTTGTTTATATTGAAAGTCTTTCATTCTTCTCTACTTGGATTGTTAAGAGAATCATCCTGGAGACATTCTTATCTTATTAAATTGTATTATTCTGTTAACTTTGGTGAAAATGAGGACCTACATGAAAGGTTATGATTAGAGTTTACAAATCAAATACAGTTGACAGAACAAAAATATGGAAACTAGGAATTACTTTTTTATTTTTTTTTATTTTTTAGAAACATGTCTTAGTAATTATACATTTTAGGTAAGACGTTTGTTAATAATGTCTCATTATTTTTAATGCTGTTCACGGTCTTTCTAATAATCGCTCTAATATTCTAAATTGAACTGTATTTCTAAGCTGGCTGTATTTTTGCACCGCTACAGAGCACTCATGTCTCCTTTTAGAAAAAAAGCAGTCAACCTTTAGAGCTCAAAGCAGGAGTTTTTTTTTTTTTTTTGCAGTGCATTTCTCACACACCTTTTATTGAGGTCTCACAGCATTCCCAGGATCTCATACTGCAGCTACGCCATTTAATCAACTGAATTTCACCTCACAAATATTGGTTCAATTTCCAGCTCACTGAAGACTGGCATTACCAGCACAACTAGGCAGAATAAACAAAGACTCTGGATTTACTCAGATGTGCTTCCTCAGCCACGTCGCCTTCTTTACCCTCTTCGTTTTCCTGTGCTCACATTTACCCCTACCACCTCTGTATCACACATGCATACACTCAAACAGCGTTGTTATTCTGCAGAAAATCAAGCTGCTTTGTTGTTTTCTCTCTGTATGGCTTTGAAATATACATGCAGATCCCGTGATGGAAAGGGATCAATGTTCATAAAAACACAAAATTATGATGCTTTGTTTTTCATAAAGAAAACCATTCAGTGTAATAAACTACACTAAATGACTTTTGTTTGGTGGTCTGTTTTGAAATTTGCGCAAAGGTTGCAGGGGGTTGCAGTGTGTTCCAATTTAGACACAGATCAAAGAAATACCTCACTTCAGCTTTGCCAGGTGCCTCCAGCTAATGCATCCCGTCCCTAGTCGAGGGTCTCTTCCGACTCACTGAGTCAATACAAACGACTTTAATACTCAAACCATTATTATTTCAAATCATTGTCAAAAGAACGGGATAAATCATCGACTTAAGCCCTGTTAATGTCAGAAAATTGCCCCATGCTTTCTGCGTTATTGACAGTCAGGAGCCTGAAAACAAGTAATGCTAATGACATAATCTGCCCGTGACCACATCACCCCTCTGCCTCCCTCTCTTCCACCAGCGTAGACAAACGGGCTCATCTGTACTGGATCATTTGCCGTCTCCTGATAACTGCGGTTTATAGCCAATTATCTCCTGCGATCCATTATCGATTACAGCGTTATCTTTCTTGCATTGCTTAATCTTTTGGCACAAGAACACAACAGCTCACTATGTGGGGGTAGGGGGTGCATGGCGGGGGGCGAGGGGTGCATACAAACTGCCAAGCGATTGGAACAGTAGTGAAGACGGATGTGTGTTCATTTGCTCGTGGATGTGTACAGTTAAATTCAATCCTATTCAGAGCGTATTCACCAGCAGGGAGGGCGGGGTGTTTTTTTGTATTTGCAGCGCTCTGTTTGGAATTAAAAACAACAACAGTCAATTTTTCTGAGTGAGCGTTAAACCTCTGATATTAGCCTGAGTGACTGATTTGCTCTCAGGATAATACAATAATGTTTGTGTTGGCTTCCCTCTGTGAATCAACATGGCTTCCAATAAAACAGCAGGGCAATAAATGTTTGTCTAACTGGCTTCATTGTATCTCTTTTCCTTTCTAGTTGGGTTAATAACTTCGGTCATGAGGGTCTTGGCCTTATCCTGGATGCTCTGGAGAAGCTGCTGGACAAGAAACAGTAAGTGATCTGATCTCTTTCAAATTTCTGAAAGGCGCAGCTTCTATTTATCACAATTATCACATTATCATTTTGATTTTATTTTACAGGCAAGAAAGCATCGATAAAAGGAACCAGCATAAACTTATCCAATGCTTGAAAGCCTTCATGAACAATAAGGTTTGTATGAGTCAATAATAGAGGTGGGGGAGGGGGGGTCATGGGTCGGTTTTGTACTTTGGTTGCAGGGTCATGGTTCAGTACAAGTTCAGTCCAACAGGGAAAAATAACCAAAATGTCCAGGATGTAGACCTCTAGGTTTCTCTTAAAGTTAGAACTGACGGTCGTACAAGTTACAGTTTGTTCCATCTTGTGTTATTTAGATCTAATCTAGGTTGGTACAGAGTTGGTACTGAGGCTGACCCAGACGGGTCCTCGAACTTCTTTGTGTCAACTTTCAACCGCATTACTCTTCTTCTTCATGTTTTCTGTTTTGTCTTCTTCTTCTTTGTTTGTTTTTTAATAGCGGTTAGCAAACAGTAATGAGCACTAGTGCCACATGGATTGGGTAGTGGATGCTGCCATGTGTGATTACCTTTTTTATACACTCAGACGTATTTGTCGTATGACTGTTTGCACTGAACCGTGACGTCCGACCCGTGACACTTTGGTATACAAATACTGTAACAGGCCTAGTCATCAACATGAATTGATTATTAAACAAACTCCATTTTATTTAACCTGTGCATAACCTTGACATTTTAATCAAATATAAATCCTCAAGTACAGAGTGGGACTAAAGGTAATGTCTCGAGAAATTATCCACTCCCACCTTATGTCCACCATTAAACTTCTGAATTTCTAAAAATAGCTCAGGTAGCCAGGATTCCAACCCTTATTTGAATGTGGACTCTTGACAAGCCGGGGATAATGGGACAGGAAAGTGAAGCTAATTTTACCATTTCAAGCTCACAGTCTCTGGTCTTTTAATTATCGTTTTTTGGGAAGGTCTTGCTCATTTCTCAAAAAGTAGCTTACATTTCAAGGGTAGATGAACTATTGATATATTGCTTCTCTGCATTAATCCCCACACGTGGTCATTTCTTAAGATGTACGGAGGATAAAGAGTACAGGAGACTATATGCATTTGTCCCTATAGTCCTGTCCTGAATTGAATTAATTCATCATCCTCTCCATTTACTCCCATGGCCTCGTTGTCCCTACTTAAAAGCAAATTAAGGCTAAGTATAACCTACGCACATTACTGCTTCTTTGTATAATTCTTTTTTTTTTTCTTTTCTTTTTTTTCATTTGAAGTGGAAGTTCTCCATGAATGCAAATGCTCTCATTATTTATACCCAACGGACCTTTTCCATGCTACCTCCTCTCTTCCATGTCTCACAGTATGGACTGCAAAGGATCCTGGGAGACGAGCGTAGCCTGTTGCTGCTGGCGCGAGCCATCGACCCCAAACAAACCAGCATGATGACGGAGATCGTCAAAATTCTCTCAGCCTTCTGTATCATTGGAGAGGAAAATATGTAAGTGGTGTCACATTTGTTCTCACACACAGTACATAGTGCTCTGGCGTTTTCATCCCTTGTATGACATTAAATGCACGTCTCTACAGCCTGTAATAAGTTGTAATTGTAATAGAGAATTCCACCACTCTTCAGTAAATATGTAGTGGTGAAAATAAATTCATTTTTTAATGACAAGACAACAAATAAATCAAACCAAACAAAAAATCTCCAAAAAAGCAAACTTGTGAGAAAAGTAATCACAGCTAATCAAGATGCTATGCAAGCCTTGCTGTGAACCAATTCAACTTTTTATATCAGGAGATAGAGTTTAAAACGTAAAAAAAGTTAACTAAAAGTATATAAACTGTTTTCTTTTCGACATAGCATGTGTGATATGATACGCTTTATAGTACCTTTATTGAAAATTGTCAAGGTAAAAAAAATGATGCCTCAATAGTAGTATTAATTAATTGAAAAACAACTATTAACATCAAAACAGAGCAGAAACTAACAATATCATCCACAAACAACATATGTTGCATATTTCCTGTATTTCATATTAAACAATGAAAAGGTATAAAAGCACATCTGTGTGGGTGGTAAGCAGGGCAGCACCACTGGCTAGTTAGTATAGGTCAGTGACTAAATATGTATTAACATTGATTTGTTTCTGTCCTTTAGTCCAACTTGTAGAGAAGTTTTTAGTATTCAAAGTTGAGGGACACATTTCTTTATTTTTCTCTCTAAATCACAGCTGATATAGAAACAGCACGACACCATTTCAGAAATCCTGCCAACAAAAAATGCACTGATGAAAGCGATATTGTCCACGTCCACTATGTTTACACGCTTCGTAATGTTCCTGAAACAGCATGAGGGAGGGAGGCGGCTGCATTTCCTTGTAAACACTGAAATATCACTATTGCTCCAATCTTCTCCCACTGGGTGGTTTCTCTGTACTCAGGCAGAGATTGGACCTCATGCATACACTTCAACCCACTGACAGCGTAAAACTGCATCTACAGATTACCTCAGACAGTACGGTTTACATGGTCAGACGATGAAGTTTAGTCACTTTAATGTGTGGAACAAGTCCGTGTAGTTTGGCCAGGGACACCCAACCTGGCTGGCAGTTTATAAATTGGATTTAAGGGAGTGTTTTTATTGTTTCCACTGGGCCGGACTAGAATAACAATGGCATTTCAAAGTCACTCTGTATGCAGACGTGGAAATAAACAAACCTTCAATTTGTGTTGGAGAAGCTGAGTGTGTCTCACATCACCGACCACCCAAATATTCCTTTATGGTTTAAAAAAAAATATATATATATATATATATATATATGCTATGCACAGTTTTCAAGATAATTTGTAAGTTACAAAAAAGTCTGAAACAACATATTAAGTTAATTCAATTTATTCTCAATTTTATAATTTTATCATTCAACTTGGTTTCATTCATTTTTTAAATCGCCTTCCTATTCCATAAGATTTCATAAGATTTGAGATGCTCACTCAAAAACAAGAATATTCTTTACATAAAAACTACATATTGAAGATGAACTTTTCCCCAAAACAATTACTGAGAATTGCAATATGATCTGATTACCTTATGCACTTAGTTTGGGTTAATCAAGTCAACAATGCTAACATTACAATCTGTATCAAAACCTACTGCAGCCTCTTAAATCGTATCTCAAAAAGGGATTATTTCAAAAATGATTTTGAGAATATAAGATTACTGAGGGTAGATCAACTTAATTCAATCGTTCGATTTTCAGGTATAAGCATCAAATTTGTATTTGTCAATGCTCAATTGGTAAATGGACTTAAGCTTGTAAAGTGCTTTCTAGTCTTCTGACTACCACAAGTCACACCTACCCATTCACACCACATTCACACACTGATGGCAGAGGCTGCTTTGTAGCGATCAGTATTAACTAATCTATTTATTCACTTTCACAACCAAGCAGCGGGAGCAACTTGGGGTTAAGTCTCTTGCCCAAGCACACATCAGACATGTGGCTGAAGCAGCTGGGGATCAAGACAACCGACTTGACCCCTGACCCACAGCCGCCCCTACAGCTCTGTTACAAAGGACTTCAATTATAAATATAGTCCATTACAGACACCAGCTTTACATTCAAGCAGACTTGCTGCTGATCACTGATTCTCACTCTCTTCCAAAGTATTCAAGAAAAAGGATGCTGTAAACATGGCAATCTTTTCCACGATCAGAGCCCTGCATTAAGATGTAGGTATCCTGTAGAAATGACATCCAAAGGAGCTGAGGCATCACTTTTATATCCCCACCCAAAAAAAAACAAAAAATGAAAGGGAAAAAAAAAACCTCACTGCCAACCAATGTTGTGAAGCTGGCTCGTGTTCAACACCCTCTACAGCTGACAGCATCAAAAGGGAACACGACAAGTTAAGCAGATCTATCTCGCCTGCTCTGAAGCGTCGTCTGAACCGGCTTTAAAGCTCCTCAGTATGCAGCTCCCCATGCTTGTCTGTGACTTTGTAACCCCTATCACAGTGCACGGCCTGTTCCATTTATCTCTGTGTCAGGCTTATTCCACACATACAGCCCTTTTGGTCAGACACATGATCTCTCCCCCCCCACTCACAAAGGAACCCTGCTTTTACTTTGTCATCTGGATTCTTTTTTCCTTTGAGGTGATACATGGTAATAAAATTGGCATCAGTAAGCCTGTGGGGGAGCACACACTGTATGTTCTTCATGAATTGGCCGATCCCTGACATTTTCACATATCACCTCTTATGACTTTTATTTAACTTAGCTGATTTATCCCACCAGCGAGGGGGAACCTGTATATCACTGTTAGAGCACCTTCATACTCATAGGAGAAAAAAAAGATGAGGGGAATTAAGCTGTTCAGTTTTTCAATTGATGAAGGCAGAATAGCAAACGTGGCCTTGCAGTGACAGAGAGCAACTGTTGCCCATTATTATGTATGCACATTGTAAATCACTGTTTGCATAAGTGCTCGTAAGACATCACTTTACCTCAATTGCGCTCACCTCATTGTGCGTGTTTGTGTGCGCAGCAAAGCATTATTCTTTCATTGACAATTTAGAACCTGAAATTGTCCATTGCTCTACTTAGCTGAGCCGCCTTTAGCCATTGTGAGTGCTCTCATTTGCTTACCTTCTCAATAAGGGTTTTCTCAAAATAATCTTGCAGCCGCTACAATAAATTGCACCCCTTTTCACCCAGCCAAACACACCTTCCCAAAATTGTGATTTGCAGCAAAAAAGCTGTTTTTCGTCTATCATCAGCTTAGTAACAAGCGTAATAAAGTCAAATTAGGCACTGCAGCAATAATAGAGCAGATTGCATGAAAAGAGATGGAACGCAGTGGCATTTGTCAGGGTGTCCAAAGACTGGCTGAGCTAATGTCCACACCATCGCACGAGGGGAGATAAGATACATGGTGTTTGAGCGGAAAATTGTGAGTAAATGTCCTGTCAGTGAGGTGATAAAAGTGTTTGTTGACTTTTTTTTGTTGTGCCTGCTGCCTGTTTTTTCTTCCAGCCTGGATAAGATTCTAGCAGCCATGACCATCGCTGCAGAGAGGAACAACAAAGAGAGATTTGCTCCAATCGTGGAAGGACTGGAGAACCACGAAGCCCAGCAGCTCCAGGTTTGGACTCACACACACACCAAAGATTTAGTTGACAAGAACTGTGTGATAATAATCAAACATTCACGACATCAGATGATCTCCTTTTGAAGAATAGCAGGGACCTTTATGGTTCAGGGGCCACAACAGTAAAAACCTCAAGTCAAGTTAACTCTTTTTCCAAATGATTTATTGTCTTTCATCCACATAAAACGGGACCAGGTGCAGAGAAAAAAAAGTGCACATAACAAAGCAATAAACAAATAGAAACATACATAAAGGAAAACAAGACTGCAGTAGGTGTCCTTAGTTAGTAGTTACATTCTATGAAAATTAATTCAACATCAGTATTCTAAATATTGCACATTTTGTGAATAAATCGGTTAATATGAGTAAATATTGCACACAGCTTTGAGGATGGACATGTCTTAATTGTCAGTTCAACGTTTTACCTTCAAATGACCACTGACTATCTGAAAATAGATAGACATTTTACTGTGTAACCCCCCTTACATTTACATGACCAAAAAAGGCCATCAAATCCTTTACAAGCAGTCAGTTTATTGCCATACAGAGACCTGGCTCAGTCTGCTGCCATTTGCACATATTCTGTCATGAAGACCCCGTTTGTAGCCAAGCGAGCCTTCGATTGGCTGCTGTGTCATTGTTAGGCCGGTTGTACTTCAGCTGTCTCCATACATGTGCTTTCCTCATCTTGTCTAACCGTCTTTGGTGCACTTGTCAGACCCACTGCACTTCATTTTGAGGCTATTGAAATACAGCTCCTTCAACACGGCTTTTATCAAAAACACCTGCTTAAAAGATCACCTCCATTGAACCATACCACTCTTATTACAAACGTGAGAAAAAATGATGATTAAAAAAAAAACATGCTGAAATGTTAGGTTCCTCTGAGCTTTCCCCCCCTCCCTTCCTTACTCTTTTCCTCACACTTTCTCCACCTCTCACTACCTTGCTCATTTTTTTTCTCACATCTTACAAATACTTCCACTTGCTTTTTTTTTTTTTTTTTTCATCCCTGCTGCTGTCAGGTTTGGTCTCGGGGGAGTCGGTGTAAAAGGGCAACTAAAGCACCATACCTGTCTTAATTCTCACTCGTTCTCTTCAGCAGCAGGAAGAACTATACAACAGCAGTAAAAACGCTCCTTAAAACATGGCGTTGTGAAAGCAAAAGCAGGGAATTACTTAAGGAATTACTTTTTTAACTGCAGGGATTTGGAAGTCATGAAGGAAAAAGTCATGAAGGAAACTGATGAGGCGGGTGGTGGAGGCGAAAGTAGATATTCTTTTATTAGGAGGCTGTTGTTTTTCCTTTAAATTTTGCCGTTAATGAAATGAAGCCCCGCTAATTGTGAAGTAAATTAAAATGCTTTGCTGATGCAGGGGGTTCGAGGAAATTAATAGACTTTTTTTATCCAAAACCTGTGATGAGCTGTTGAAGTAGACTTTGCTAATGTGATTAAAATGTGTTTCGCCGTTGTTTAGGCTACACTCGTCTGCTGAGCACGAGAGAAACTCTGCATTTCAACTTTAAAACCGTCCCAGCGGTGGCACTTTTAATTACGATGTTTGGAAACCCCCCTATGGCAGCTCTCTAAACCTAACACAGAGAACCCCTACCCCCCTACCCCCCCCCACACACACACACACACACACACACACACACACACACACACACACACACACACACACACACACAGTTCCTCATCCCCAACTCAGCCTATTCCCACCGCACAAAGTATGGCGGAGGTGCTTGATGTAAGTATCAATCTTCATGCAGAAGAAGAAACAGAATTTTTCATGATCTCCATGGCTTTCTTCGCTCACATAGATTCTGTGAAGATTTGGTGGAGGTTCTTTCATGTACATGGCCTCCGGTGGATACAGTAAAATGTCAGGTTTTTCAATATACAGATATTGCTCTGGAAGCCCTCCAGCTCTTACGGGAACATGGATAAGTCTTCCATGCTTTTTGTTTCACATAGTCAATGGTGTTGAATCTTTTACTCTGAAAGCTTGTGCTTTCTCAATGGACTATCTCAATATATATTTTATATCTGTATGCATACAAACATGCATTATACCTCACAACTTAACTTCAGTGCAAACCACTCCCGTGCATTCTTTTAATCAGACCCGAAGCTCAAAATCAAAAGTATTTAATTGCTGTACTGATGAGTTCATCCTAGCATAAATACATATGTTTTACATGGAGGGATTTCTAGATTTGAGATTGAAACCAAGGAACTACTAAAAGCTAAAGCAGGTACCCCGCAAAGAATCACAGCTATTGTGGCTCTTATTAATAACACATACAAGCCAAAAGCGTCGGGCCAAGGTTTCTGAAGACAATGTTTCACATCGTCCATGGGAATCCTTCAGCCTGCTATCGATTGTCTGTCCAAGGAAAGCTGTCTTATCCATTGCTCGCTCCCCTGAAACACCTTACTGCTCATTATCATTCATCAGCGATTTCCTCTACCCCCCCCCCCACCACCCCTTCTCTTTCCTCCTCCTCAACCAGACACACACTCTACAAGGCTTTTTCCTTGCCAATAAATCCATTAATAATGCATAACTAGTCAATACACCTTTACTTCTACGAGCTCTTTCTCTTTGCTGCGATGCCTTTTTCTGTAGTTTGAATATGGAATATTAATATTAAGGGCGTTAAGATTAACCAACAAGTATATATTCATATTAGAGAGAGCAAACATGAAGTTTACAACTCAATCACACAATCTTATAATCTCATATACGTGATCTTATATAATGAGTAGTTTGTTTCTGATTTCTTATTTGATTGTCTCCATTTTCTCGCCTTTTATTTTCTCTGTCTGCTCCACAGGTCGCCTGCATGCAGCTGATCAACGCCCTGGTCACTTCGCCCGATGACCTGGACTTTCGGATACATCTACGCAATGAGTTCCTAAGATGTGGCCTCAAGAAAATCCTACCAGTGAGTTGGCAAATTATCAGACAACGCATGGTTAAATCAGACAGTTTAAAAGTCACGTTGTGCTACTCACATACAGAAAGATGGTCCCATTATAAATGTTTTCCTGTTTTAGTGAGTTAAACCAGGACATTTTGGTCTTTTGGTTCAACCATACTACACACACACACACACACACACACACACACACACACACACACACATACTTCAAGTACAGGTCTTATGGTCCCTACAGAAGAGCATACACTCAGGACCATGCATGCGCAGACACACACAAACTAACAAAAGCAATTTATTAAGATCACCTTTAAAAGTTTCCACAGACTTCAGGTCATTGACTAAATGCACTCTCACTTGATGCAGTTTGAACATCAAGTACATTCATGAGGCCGCTACCTGATGAACATAAACTTATGGAAAATGAAATCCTCTTTTCCAAGATTTGAATACTGATTCAGCTATTCAGATAATTTGATAAAAGTGCTTTATTATGAACATATTCAATAGCAGTAGTTGTGTAACTAGTACTCGCGGTACTACCATGTGAAAAGTCTGACGCCTTGCCAGCACCTCATCACACAGGTCGTCCTGGCATCATTATCACAAGCCTCCACATCCTCACACAGGGTGAAGGCAAACGAGCTCCAACTAATCACTCACACCCTCGTTTGTAGCAAGCGGGGTGAACGTGTCACAGAGCCAGTTGTTAATAACTCATCCCAGCTGCTCCTGTTGATTATTTCGGCCATTACTTAAATTATCTGCAAATTCTTTTCCCTGATATGAAAGAGTCTCCGCGTACCGTCATTTCACGGACGCCACGTTCACCGCTTTTTATTGCCGACATTCAAACTGACACTCTTTTCATGTAATCATGAGTTATGCTCAGGAGTCTGCGTAGCTGTTGGCAAAGAAAAAGTGTACTCCGCTGACAAAGAAAGCCCAATTTGTTTTGTTCTTATAGTCCTTGACACGTGTTTTTGGCTCTCCTCCTCTCTCTCTCTCTCCCCCCGCCCTTTTTTTTGCCATTGTGCACCTCCCTCCGAACCAGTGCTGCTTAAGACAGATGGTGCAGCCGAAAACAGTGCAGGGTGATTGATACCTGCAGAAATTGGGTTACATTTGGCCCTGTCTCTGTGTGTAAACTCCACTGTCGGTGATTCATAGAGAAGTGGGAAAGAGCACTGCCTTAGCCCCTCGTGGCAGGAACAGGTGTGCAGGGAAAGAGACTGTCTGGAGCACCATAGTGAGAAGGTTCAGGGGCAATCAGTTAGCTGGTACACTGCAACTCATATTCTAGTAACACAGATTGTATTCATCATCTTATTTTTGTATTAAAACAAAAAGAAAAGAAAAACAAAGAACGTAAAAAGCGCACACAGAGGAGGGCCTCTAAGCTCTTGTGAGGAGTTTTAATATAGTTATTAAACAGTATGAAATTCATATTGATGCCTCTATGTGATTGCCAAAAGCAATGAGACCATCAGCATAAAGAGTGATTAATTTAATAAAGTTGTTTTTAAATGTGTATAACCAGGAGTTGCCAGATGATGTGATGTTGAACACAGCCTTTTAAAATTACTTTTCACAGCAAAGTTTCACATTGAGTGATACTTTGGGCAACACAAATGCAGAAGGCTGACCTCTAGAAATGTACATGGCAAGATCGGCAAAGAGATAAGACATGCATGATGGTCCAAGGTGTCGCTTAGACTGACAGAAAATAGAAGTTCCTCACAGTGGCTTTGAGAAAATTCCTGATATAAAGAGTCAAAAGTCCAATACTGTCCAATGCAGTTTATGTTTAACAACAGGCCTCATCAGCATTAACATGATCAAGAGAATTCATCAATGCACACACTAGGGCAATGGGCTGTTAAAAAGCTTTATCTGAATGAATTGTTTGTCATAATCTAGATCTAATCAAGATGACCTTTTATCTAACTCCATCTTTTCATCGACCGTCCGCATGTCTTACTCAATCCAGGAGCTAAAAGAGACAGAGGAGCTTGACATCCAGCTGAAGGTATTCAACGAAAACAAGGAGGAGGACTCCATCGAACTCTCCCACCGCCTGGACGACATCCGCGCCGAGATGGAATATCCTTTTGTCCTCCCTCTTGTGTATACAGATGATTAGGTCTGCTGAACTCGCATTAAGAGATGAGTGTATACCGCCAAGCTTTACAGACTAAAACCCCCTCATGGTTTGATTCATCAGAAAAAGGATTTGAAGAGCCACAGCACAATATCTAGCTCAGTTTCTGACCAGGTATTGCAGGTAAATAGCCCTGTCTTCCCAACCTCTTCACTCTCCACTCCTCCTATTTACTTTTTCTCCTTTGCCTGTATGGTTAAGTAGGTCTGTTGTATTAATCAATAGGAAGGTTTTCCAACAGACAGATGCTCTCGTGTTCTTACCATTTACGATGCACAGTAGACACTTGAACAATTTTATGTGGGGTGACATATATCATATGATCAAGGTTTCCGCTCTTCCAGCATAATCACTTCTTCTTGTCTTTCTGTGCCATTATAGAAATGTGAATCCCCCCCCTGTAGCTCCCTCCACCAATGTCCGTTTAACTCCAGACATGCAGAGTGGAAGTTAATAAGGTGGGCAGTAATTGAGTCCCGAGCTAGAAACTTCTTCAAGCAGCCCAGTAGAAGGACCCTTTAATAATTCACAAATCTTCTCCGAGGCTATGAATGAATGGCTGACATTGTGGAACCAGACTCTGACATTGTTATGCAGATGTTCATTCCCACATCCTTTTTTCGTCCGTTGAGTCCCTCAGTTCTCACACTGACACGGAGCTGTGCTGCTGCTGCTGCTGCTGCTGTGACTGACAGTTTCTGTTGACACATGGAAGGTGAGGGGAGGAGGTTGTGTGTGTGTGTCAAGAGTGTGTGTGGGGGGGGGAGTGCACCTGGATTAATGATGTGCTTGAGCAGGTTCACAAATGAGAAGGCCCAATGTTAGTTTCCAAGGACAATGTGGTATTGATCCCCGAGCTCTGAGCATGACTCGAATGCCTAGGCTGCCCTTCGTCCCTTCACCTGCATACACCCAAACACTCACGGACACACACGTACAGACAGACATGTGCATGCCATCACGCAGCCAGTGCTTCTGCTACCTGAGCATTGCACATGTGTCTTGTTTCTCCTCACAGTTTCATGAATATTAACCTGAAGAGGCTCATCTCCTGTCCGACGCAGGTCCATGTGGCGAGGAGGTGACTCCAGGCCACTTATAAATATTAATGAGCTGTGGAATGGTGATTGATTGACCCCACCACTGACTGGCCTACGTCACACTTGACTGCCACTCATGTTTATTCATTATTTGGAGAGGGAGTGTAAAGACAGAGCGCGACAGAAAAGGATGGAAGAGGAAGGGGGACAGGGGGTGTCATCGAACGGATTGGCATTCTACATTAGGTTTATGTCTGCAGCTTAGTGATAGATGAAGCTAGTTGGATACTTTCCCAGTCTGAGCTCCTTCTCATGTCCTCTCAAACGCTGCAGTGGTGAGACTATAATTGAATCTCACAGGATTGGTAATTCTCCCAGGCTTCATACTCGGCTAATACAAGGGAGGGAAATGATCCTGTAAAGGGGAGCCCGTATTCCCATCCGTCTCCCTCTAAAAAAATTTGATATGGGATAGGAGTTTAATTACAGACATTGTTGAAATTAATAGGAAAAGTGTCACACAGTATTTAAAAGAATTGATCCTCTCCTCTTGCAGTGGCTGCAGATTGTTTTGTGTGGATGAGAGCATGGGAGATGGAGAATGCAGGGACAAGCTTTTTTTTTTTTTTTATAATTGAGAAAAAAAAAAGAGGAAATATTGATACTCTAATGCGAAAGTCAAACAAAGACAAATAGCATTAAGAAGAAAACAAAGCATTGACAAGCTCTTTAGATTGACCTTTGACTTGTTTATCGGACCCTTCTAATCGCTCATGAGTCTTAGATCCACAAAACCAGCTATTAAAGCATGCTACTAGTAGCAGAAATATAACTGTATCTGTGGCGCCTTATTGTCTTCATTAAACTTTAATTCTGTCTGAGTCCTTTAAGCTTAGTCACCTAAAAATCACGTATTAAACTGATGTGCTTTTTCCCCAAAGCAGAAGGGAGGGGATTGACAACACATGCTGCCACAGTGCTGAAAATGTCACTTGATTGCTTTGCAGTCAGTACATTGCGCTATGTAAATATTTTAGCACACTTTATGTTATGATGGCAATCAGGTTTTCATCTCTGCAAGCTTAACAGGGCACTGTCTCCTCCTCTTCTTCTCTTCTTTTTTTTTCTACCCTTCTAAATGTGTGCACATATCTGAGAGGCTTATTTCACTTTTCCAAACAAGATGAGTCTCCGTTGGGAAATCCTCCTTTCTCAAGCAAACAAATTAAATAGGCTCCAAATCACTCATTTTCCTCGGTTCTTTACTTCTTCGAGCTGCACTTTTAGGAAGCTATTAGAAGTTTGAGAAACACAGATTTAATGACTTCTTAATGAACCTTTTGCAACAAAAACGACAATTAACGCAGACATTTAATTTGGTGAACATGTTTGAATGTCTGTGGCCTTCTTCTCCGTACACTGTATTTGCAATGGTCTTGTGTTGCTTTTGATTCAATGATTTCACATTTCAAATGTTTTGTCCTGTTTTTGAAATCACTCAGAACTAATACAAATTGTATTAAATACTCATCAATTCATAAGATATAGGATATTTGAATATGGAAGTACAAAGAGAGAGATTCTGATTTAACATCTGTTTTCAATGTCAAAGCGATCACTCCTTCCTCCTGGGGAAAGCAAACACAAGACACATAATCAATACCTTTTGCAAATTTAATAACGTGGATTTTTGCTCCTGAGTGCACGTCAGTTTTAATCTGAGAGCCGAATCTCAGCCAGGCTTTTGCCCTATAAATGATCCCCCCCCCCCTTCCCTTCCCCATCATTCCTGCCTTAAACATTCAAACCAGTGAGTTTTTTCATGTAATTAATTTCCTTCTACTCTGAAAGGTTTGGAGTGACAGGTAAACCAGAGGGAGCATTCTTTATTGCAGATCCCCTTCCTCTTATTCGCTGTTTTAGCTCCCCCGAGAGCGAATGGATAAGACGAATCACGTCTCCTTTAGCTTTTGCTCCATGATGCCTGTCAAAAAAATCCTGAGAAGAGGAACTGCGGGAAAATAAACAAGTATTTAAAAAAAAAAAAAAAACATAAACTAATACACTTTTAAATGTTTACAAGGAGTTGAAGGCACCTGAACATGAACTCTTTTTGTGGTAGTTTTCTGGAGAAGTTAGTCAAAGTGTATCAAAGAAAACACAAGTTTTTTTTTTTTCCTTAACCGTGCTCCTGTACTGACATGAATGAGGTGTACCATCTCCTGTCCAACATGGTGAAAGACACCGGCTCAGAGGCCTACTTCTTGTCAATCCTTCAGCACCTATTGCTCATCAGGAATGACTATTACATCAGGTAAGTCGTGTTTGATTTCAATGATGACCCTGTGATGAACTGCTGCAGTTCAGATTGCTCCGATTGTTGAAGCTTTGGGATATCAAGTTAATTGTTTTTAACAGTAAATATGAGGAACATCATTATTACGTTTATCACTTTCAAGAACTAGTTTTCACCACCTAAAGGAATGCTCAACTTTCAAATAGTTTATTTTACTGTACATTTTGTGTAAATTACTAAGAAAGCAGCATCTATTTGCTTGCCTCTCTTTTTAATTGTTTTACTAATTTTGTTTGTAGACTGAGGGAAAAAAATAATAATAGTAGGGCAAGCATGTGAATCATTGATCAAACAGAGCCATGGACATAAAACACACAATATGATAAAATACATAACGTGTATTCTAAAACTCAACATGTGAAACAATGTTGATTACATGGTAGCAAATAGAACAAAGTGTGCAGTACATTCAGCCCTAACAATAATGATGAAGAAATCACCAACACTGCTCAGTATGAATTGGCCTTTTGGTTTCCAGATTATTATTATTTTTTTTTAAATGATTTGTATACACTTCATTAATCCCTGCGGGAAATATTGGTTTACACTCTGTTATTGAGAGACATGCTCCACACACATGCACAAGCAGGACCTGTAGAGTTGCATTAATGGCGAGATGTCAGAGTGGGGGCTGCTATGCAGTACGCTGCAATGCAGGGAGCGCACCAGAGAGGTTGGGGGTTTGGTGCCTTCCTCAAGGGCACCTTGGCAGTACTCAGGAAGTCCTCTGGAACCTCTCCCGCTACCAGACCAACTTCCATACTATGGTCCGCATCAGGACTTGAACCGGCGACCTTCCGGTTCCCCAACCCAAGTCCCTCCGGTCTGAGCTACTGCCGCCCCAAGATGGAGATTGATGGAATTTATGGAGATCAAACTTTAAACTTAAACCTCACTTTGTCTAGCACGCATAAATTATAAGAGGGAGGGTAATATTCTGTACTTTGGAATAAAGAAGTACTTTTCAACTGTTGGGTTAGCATTCTGCTTTGCCTTTAGGAGCAAATATATCAGCCACTGTGCAGGAATTCTGCAGCTCATCTGTACTGTAGGACACTGATGAAATCACTGCTGTGTCAGACTTTGTTTTTTTTTTTTTGCAGATATAAGACAGAAAAAAAAAAAAAAAGTTGAAGACGAAGTAAAGATGAGAGGAGGAAGATGAATTTACCATAGACAAGTTGCTGTTCCCTTGGGGTTATGAATAATGTATTCCTCATCTATATGTGGGAAGTGAGAAATAGAATTCGCATTAGCCAGCTACAGCCACGTCCACCTCTGCTCCACCGTCCAGGCACTCTTCTGTAAGTCAGCCAGTATGAAGGAATCTGCGACAGTGCTCATGAAAAAGAAATTGGATGGTATTTCAAAATATATCATTTTCCTTTCCATATGGCTTCAATCACAAATACAAGGACAGAGCCGTATATGTGTATACACAAACACTAACACAAGAAATGTATTCTGACTGAGGTATTTTATCTTCAGTACATCAAAACTGTGATGTATTGGGGATAACACTACAGTACATGCAACACTACATGTTACTAAAACAGATTCTATTCATCTGTTTTCATTACTGGGCCTTAGAGTAAGCAACTTTCTATGTTGCAGTCAAAGTAAGGCAAATGTATCATAGTATGTATACTATTTTATTATCTCGGTACACAAAAAAAAAAAAATCATCAGCATAGAGATTGGTTGTAGCAAAGCATGGATCTAGTTCAATCATTTAAGGTTAGTTATGTATTAGAGCCTGACTGATTAACCGTCCAGCCGATAACATCGACCGATATTAGCATATCAAGTGAGATCAGCGTCTGCTAATTTTTTCTCAGATATGCGCCGATATTACTAGATTGATTTACCAGTCAAATAGCATTTAATTTGAGTATCCTTGAATTACACAAGCAGTTCTCTTTCTGGCTGTCACCATCGAGTGTGCTGTATGGATTATAACAAGCATTATCTCCCTCCGGAGTGTCAAGCGATGATGCATGTACATGCAAAGTTACTTTCCAGTTGATAGACCATCTTGTCTACGCTGTTCTGTATATCTTTTCCACAAGTGTTTGGTAACTGCATTTGATGGATCAACACAATACAATTTATCTATCTATATCTATCTATGTCTATAAAATTAACACACAGCAGATCTGAGATAGATTTCGGCCGATATATCGGTATCTGATTTTTTCTCACCCCAATATCAATATTGGTATCGGCCTCAGAAATGACCATATCGGTCAGGACCTAGTACGTATATGAATATGTGACAGATTTGGCTTTATGATTATCCCTAGCATATGTTGGCCCAAGCCATTCTACCCCATTAAAATTTGATTTGATTATTAGGAAATAAACTGTATTTAATAGTAATTAATGAAATAATATAATTAGTGTTCTAATACGTCTGAGAAGGTAGCCTGTTGCCGTGCTCCGTCTGCTGTCGTTCCTCCTAACACAACATTAGTTGTTGCGCTCCCCTCTGGGCCTTGGTTTATTTTTTGATAATTAATCTCTCACTGCAAGCCTAATGAATGGGAGCACATCAAACCCACCCAGTAAATATAGAGCAGATCTGCTCTTTTGGAGCCGGGTGATATGGGGATTACTCTGGCTATGTGGAGCAGAGCTGGATCAAGTGGCTGTGGCTGCTCTGAACTGCAAGCGATCATTGGAAGAAATGAAGGTGCCAGAGTAAAAGAAGAGGTGGGGAATGATGCAGGGGACATATGCTGGCTTTTTTGGAGCCCGGCCCTGCCCACTGTGGAGGGGGGCCTGACAGTTCTGGGTCACTCTCCACGTCTCATAGTTATCTCAACCCAACCCCTATCTGCCTGGTGGTGGCGGAGGATGGAGGACGAAGGGAAAATAGGGCGGCTTATTGAGATAATAATGTGGTGTACACTGGTGACAGTTGTAAGCCGAGTGCCACAGTGCTTAAGCCATGCAGGGCGATGCGTGAGCTTTCACTAGCTTCTTCCCATCACGAGTGGGCGCATCCGCCAGCTCCAGCTTAATGTATGGCATTTCATGCTTTCAAAACAGTGCACCTAAATGCTGATTTATTCTTATTTTCTTTGGCTCAGAATTCTGTGTTCTTTCATATTCCTGTTGAGAGCACGATACAGCCTGTCCACCCACAAGTTACCAACACAACCTTTGAAATTACGGGCAACAGAGTCATACCTTGAAAATAAACTCAATTCTGTTTCATGTGGTGTTATTTTTAAATAACTGCATACAGTATATTTTCTTTTAAAATGTGGCTTTTATCTTTTTTTATTTGAAAAAAAGTACTTATCTAATGTTGCTATGTGCAGTTTTGGTACCACCCATAATGAACCCACCTGGCCACACAAACTAAATCCACAGCTCTGCCTACTCAAATGATTCATTTTGAGTGTCGTTTTCAATCTTTCTCATTAGTTCAAACCATCACTAAGGCTTTAAAAAACACTTTTCATTCCTTATCTACATAAAAGTTGTTGATTTATTTTTATCATATCAGTGGAAAAAATGTGCAGATGCAAGAAGGACATTTTCTGCTCTCTACATGAAAATCCCCTCTGTCTTTAAGTATATTCAGAGGGCTGCACTGGACAGTATATTTGTGCTTTGGGACCCGTAGACGAACACTGTCTACTCTGTGCCCACCAGAACACTGTTTCATATCTAAAAAGGAGATGAAAGAATTGATTGTGATTATTGAAGGCTGCCCCTGTTCCAGCTGCTGATATATCTCATCTTGCTCCACCCAAAGTCCAGATTTCATAATATTGGGCCAGAATTGTGATTACTCCGCAGTTCAAGGAAACTGAAACAATTAGTGAGCCGCATCCACAAGCACTTTAATTTGAAGTTAACACTAGTTGAGGTAATTGTTGTACATTTGGGTATTAATGAGAATCATTAAAGATCATTTTTGTCACACCTCCTAACTCAGTTCAAATCCTTCCTTCCGTTTTAAAATAATTGTTGCTCCAAGTCTTTGGATGAATAAAAAAAGTCCCCCCCCCCCTTTAGCGGATTCAAACATCAACTTCTAGTCAATGTCATGCCTAGAAAATCATTATTTCTCAGTCTGGGGCTCAGCTTAAGATGGCATTGTATTTGCTAAATGTCACTTGCAATTAAAGTTGATAATGTTACCGAGAAAAGGTCACATACCAACCTGTGTGGCGGAACGGGACTCTGGGGCTGAAACACACACTGCCGCCTGACAGCACTGAGCGCTCAGTCACACTCCTAACCGGCCGACATGTTTTCCTGGTCATTGTGCTTTCAATTACACACATTACACTGATTAGATTTACATTTCACTTTTTATGGTTGCTCTAATTGGCTAAGATGATTGCAAATTAGGCAAGAGGGCAAGCGTAGCCTTGGCTACCGTCTGTCACCTTGAAATGGACAGACTAACACAGACTTTTGGTTTTGTGTGCCCATTAATCTGCTAATTTCATGATTGGGGTGAGGCAAGTGATCAAATTTAATAGGGTGCCTATTTTCTCCAGCAAGCACCCTTTTTGACTTGGCATTTTGTGACCTCTAGCTTGGATAAGGGAATCATTTGTGGTTAATTAGCCTTGTAAGGTTTGTGTCACTCATATCTTTTTGTGGTGTGTCTAATTGTTCTGCTTTATGTCTTGTGACCCCCCCAGGCCTCAGTATTACAAGGTGATAGAAGAATGCGTGTCCCAGGTAGTCCTGCATCGAAGCGGCATGGACCCGGACTTCGGCTACAGCAGAAGACTGGACGTGGACTTCACTCATCTGATTGGTACTTTTTGCATTGCTTCAGATGAACTCACTATTAAAAGTTTAAAAAAGTATGATAAATGTCTTCAAGACTTTTTCCTATAATGGAATAAACTGAAATCATCCTCAGAATCAGATACTTTCCTTTGAAAACTCCGTTGCAGCAGGAGGTGCTTCACCGCTGTTGCTAAAAATGTTTTGATATCTTGCAGTCATTCTCATTATCCTCCCAGATCTCCCTGAGATTCCTCTGCCAAACACAACACCTGCAGTGGCTTGACATATAAGATCGGGTCATCTAATTATTGATGAATAATACATTCTATGTGGCAAAATGAATGCTGTTGCTTCAGGATCATTTTAAATGTGTTTTTTCCACGGAGACGGTGTCAGTCAGTCGTGTTCCCTGCATTATAGAGAGAACATCTATTTGCACTGCATTACTAATGGACAGATTTATTTGGTCCAGACAACAGAAATAAATAACAGTGTTCTGTTTCCCTCTGTAGTGTCACAAACAGTTCTGTGACTTGCCAACAAAGGGTCATTAAAAGTTTCCAGACCTGTCCACAGAGGACTGATGCAGTATCTAATACGTTTTCTCACTCATTTTACCACAGTTTAATCAGTTATTAAAAAAGTTTCAATTATTGTAACATCCACACAGAAACCGCGGGCTTTGTGCCACGTCCAAAAGTTTATTTGAAAGATGCCGTTCCACCCTTGTTTTTTCTACTTCTCACATCATGGTGTTGGCCCCTAACGACAACACTGTCTTCTGTAGGAAAATGTGTCGCATGATATGTAATCTAACAACAATTAACGCTCTTGACACTTCAGATGATTTATCCACAGGGGCAAACTGCACAATGAGGGATTTGTGTCACAATGAGATTTTACAGAAAAAAATACATTCAGAAAACAGTTGGAGAAGACTTTGACTTTAGGCTTCAATCTCTTTTACAAGTTTAAGAAACTCGCCCAGAGCAACAGATAAGAACTCTGATTGTTAAGGTCCTGCTATTTAAGGACACCTTTGTCAGTAGACTAGGATAAAGAGAAGAGGAGGGCAAACGACTAGCACAAACGCATGAGCCAATAGTTGCACAGTGTGACTGATTTCAGCGAATGTGAGGCCGTCATTGAACACATCATGAAAACACTTTTCCCGTACTTGTCCCCTCTTCACAAGGTTAACACAGCAGTTGCATCAGTCGCCACAACTGCCCATTTTTTCTACTTTGTCTGCTTTTCTCCAAGGGGGGGATATGTCATTTATTTGTTCATGTATTTAATGATTCCCTTAGGTATTACATTTCATCACAATCTACTTCAAACAACCTTTAAGTGAGGACACATGTAGGTCCATTTAAACAAGAGGTATCTCATCTAAAGGTTTTTTCTAAATACTTGGTCTTTATGCTGATGTGCTTATATACAGTAATCTGTGGAATTTAAAGACCACCTTACTGCCCTTACAGACTTTTAAAAGAAGGATTTCCAATCATGAGAGCTTTAATATGCTTATAATCTCACCAGAGTTAATGCTGCACGTCCCACCCAGTGCTGCTTCAGAGGTATCTCATCAACATGACTGTCTTGTCTTACAGATCAGTGTGTGGACAAAGCCAAAGTTGAGGAGAGTGAGCAGAAGGCTGCAGAGTACTCCAAAAAGGTGAGACATTAATCACTCCCAACAGCCCCCCCCTTGGTTGGCCGACTCCCATCAGGAAAGTTTTTTCTTCCTCAGAGCTCCCAGACAAGCTATTGATTTTCCATGCCCTGATCAATAGCTGGCTGTGACGCTACATGATCCGTATCAGCATTACAAGAATCAATGCCGATCTTCTGATGTATACTTATTTGTGCACCGTGCAAGGGGAGAGTTAAGTTATGTGAGGGCTCTTTTTGTGCATTTTAACCAGGCCCTTTAGCGTTTATCTCTTTATCTTACATCTCCCTTTAATTCTGTGATATCTATTCAATATTTGCTTTATTTATTTATTGTATTCATTATGGGCACATAGAATGAACACTATTTTACTGTTAAACCTTGCCTCAAGCAAACCATGCATGATATTTCAATGCATCGTCTTGCGTCACTGCCTCTGTCTGGCACACGAAGGGGGTCCAGGATTTGTTGGTTTCTTAAGAGTCTTGTCCCACCAGCAAACCACGCACCCTGCTGGGCCAGTGAAGTCATTGTAGCGACAGGGTTCGGTTTCTGCAAAGGTTAGATCCATCATCATACATGAAAGCCAGGCCTGAAAGAAAGACAAAGGACAACAGGGCTCTAGGGCCATGTGAGCTATGAATAGAAATCGGCCAGAGAGTGTAAGACGGGCGTGTTTCGGTGTCTGTTGATGTGCCCCGTGGCCGTTCTCCGGAGACACCGCGCCGCTCACTAACCCGAGTGTGTGTTTGTTTACATCTTCGTCCAAATATTTGTTATGTGCACATAGACATGCTTGTGCCTCTATTTCTTCCAGTTTGATGAGGAGTTCAGTGCACGGCAGGAGGCCCAGGCTGACTCTCAAAAGAAGGAAGAAAGAATCAAAGAGCTGGAGGGGAAGATCCAGGCCCTGGAGTCCCAGGTAAATCCATAAAGAAAAATCCCACCACTCTGCAAAACAGTGTTACATTCCCCCCAGAGATCTTTCACGTTGTACGGCTTCCAAAAAAAGTACCAAAAAGAGGAGACAGTTGAAAAAACTTGTCAAGATGCCCTTTTAATCTGCTTTTAAAGTGAAAAACATGTCATGCAATCTTACACAGTATTTAAAAAAAAAAAAGTTTTCTTTCAGATCAAGGTAACAAGAAGTAATGGCACCACTCGGAAAAAAGAAAAAAGGCTGATTTGGTCAGAAGGATACCTTTCAAACCCACTTATAGATGTGCTGCGGCTGTAAGTGGGAGTTATCATCCATGAAGGAACATTTGATTTAATAAAGGGTCAATCTCCTTCCCTTAAGTTGTAGCTCTTTTTATGCGCGAATTGCTCGATTGAAGCTTTTCCTATGTAATTCTATCATCAAAGAGATGGATTGCATTTCCTTTCTTGGTCTCCACATCATTTCTTCCCAGGCAAAGCCTTCCGTTTTGAGCACAGAAAATGACTGCTATTTCCCCCTTAACCCAATTTCAAACACTTTAGTACTGTCTTGAGACAAAAGGGCAGTTTGCCTCCCTGCTTAGAGAATTTAATATAAACCAGCGTTGAAAGATGGCATAGCTACATTTGTATTGAAGATTGCCTTTTTCATTCAAACATTCATCTCTGGTAGCCTGTATTGGCACTCCCTGTCTGATAAACTGCACCCGCAGCACTGGTAGATTTTTCTCTTGTAACAGTTTGCTACTTTTGTCCTTTTTCCTATGATTCTTAGATCCACAACAAATGCTGTGTTGTGGCAAAAGCTTTTGGCTGTTGTCCCGGCTGTAGTCACATAGTTTTTCTCTCCAAAACTGAATGTGTGTACGGGTCTCACCTCTGCACTTTATATACCTGGGTGCTGCATCAGCTTCTTCTTCCTTTCTTTTAACATGCATTTGTACCCAAACTAGTTCATCACTCATCTTCCACAGACTACCCTCCTTGTCTTAATGAGACCATAAGACTCCGAATGTCCTCTCCACCTGCTCTGCTTCCTCGCAGCTTTTTTTCTCCCCCTCACTCTTTCTCTCTCTCTCTCCTTCTTCCACCATGCAGTACTGTCAGAGACGAGGCTGCGTTACCTTAGCATGCCCTCTTTCCCTTGTTGGAGCTTTTTATGTTGTTTCCAAGTGTTTTCTTCCCCGTAACACACCTCCCCCTCGCCCTCCCCTGACAGGCCTCTGTCTTTTGAAGACTGGCTGACTGCGGTGCATTAACAGGTAGAGCGGAGCAGGGGAGCCCTGGAGAGTCAAGCCCTCTCTTCCTCTGTTTGTGTGAATGCTCCTTCAAAGAGCGGTGACTGCTTCAGAGCGGCACATCAGTCGACATTAACCTCAGCAGGATAATATGTAATTTCTTTGGCACAAACCTGCATGAATGTGACCGTAAGGACTTTATCATATCCCCTATACATCTTGACAGAATATACACATAAAGTATATGCACCATAGGGCCCTTATCTTTGTTCATGTTTTGAAAATCTTTCTTATGATTTAGAACCAATTTCAGGTGTTCGTGTTTCAGAAAAGTGAAATTGATTTTAATCATGCATCACTAATTCACGTGCTCTTAATTAAATTAAATTCTTGGGTTTACAGGGTTTAAGTTTATTAAGAAAAAAAATGTAATCTTTTATTTCACACAGGTTTCCATATAGACAATACAATTCCTACCTCTAACAACCCAACGGTGTCATCCCCTCAGACGCTTGTGCTTTTGTTTCTTCAGGAAAACAAGGCTCAGATAGTGTCTTTTTCAAACGAATCCCTGTTTGACACACTGCTGCAGAATGCCATTAGCTGTGAGAGCACCGACCCTTTAATTCGTCATGCGGACTGGTTGTCAGTTTGTCCATCAAAGCCGCTGCACTATCGCTGCCATTTAGCCGGAAAATAAATGAAGTGGGAGCTAACTCTCACCTTTCATCTCCCAGATATGAAAACATGTGCATGCCTGAGTCACCCCCCCTTCACCTTATTTGTGAAGAAACACATTTAATGAGAGTCTTTCGAGGGGAACTTTGCCTTTGTAACGAGCGGCCTATTTGATGTGTCTGTTTCATTATCCCTCAATCGAGTTGAGTGGAGCCTGTAAACATCCACACAGGACACAAATCATAACAAGTGGAAATCATCCACCCTTCCCCAAAACTTTGCCTGCAACCACTCAAGGTTGAAAAAAAAGGAAGCTTTTCATTGAATTGGCTGTGGATGTGATGAATAATGTAGCACTGCAGTGGTACACTGGAGCACTCTGCGCCATCCCATTAATAGGTTTTAACAACCTGGCGGTGTAGTAGCTGACCCAGCTGAGCCCCAAGAGAGGCTGGAGGTGTACTGGACCATTTTCTCTCTCTTTTACCACCAGGCTACCTTCCGCCCTGGATGATTACAGAATTTGACTCAACTGATATTGACAGCACAACTCACAATAGAGAGATAGAGCCCAGATTTGACTATTTACATCCTCGACACACATGCAGATGTCTTACACATGAATCCTTAACTTTAGCAGTTTAAAAAGAAATGCTGGGCAAAAGCAGGCCATACTGTACTATACCTGCTTAAAACATCTCCGACTTGCTCTTTTAAACTTAGATATCACAAAGCCTCCAACTTTTAATCCTTAAGGATTAAAGATAAAATAAAACTTCGTCTTTGCTTTAAATATTGCACTTGACTTCCATTTTCTGGAATTCTTGCAAAAAGAAAGTTCTTTTTAACCCACCCCACTAAAAGTTTCCATCTCCTTTTTCCATTATACACATTAAATATTTAGCTCTCTACAGTCTATAGTAAGAGAGGTTCTGTAGGAATAGTTCCCTTAAAAAAATTAAAAAAATAAAAATACAACATTTCTGTTACTGTGGAATTATGCTCCGATCCTCTTTCTTTTGGCAAGGTCGCAAAAGAGAGAAATATCAAAGCAAAATGGGTACATTTCTGAAACAAAGACTGCAGTGTGAAATCAATGCCCATCACACATCTGAGAGAGTTAAGTTGAAATGTATTTTGCAATGCCAAAAAAAAAAAAAAAGGGAAATAGAAGAAAGGCTTGGAAGGTGCACTGACTGTCAGGGATGCTGTGCCTTGTTCCTTTCATGCTGCAGTCAGTGCTCTACACTGATGCTCTTTTGAAGGTAGATTACATCTTGTTTTAGGTGTAAAAGTACAGTACACTCTGCCTTTTGCACGTCAAATAGCTCATTCAGACAAAATGGGAATATAACATTGTGCCTCCATTGCCATTAACTATGTAAGGGACGTCCTCTTTCTCATGCTTGCCTTTCTTTTTGGTCTTCTTTATGTTTGCTGTGAGTACCGTACCTGTTCTCTTGTACTAGTGTTCTCCTTCTTCTCTGTCTGTCTAACCCACCCACATTTGTGTCTCTCTGTTGCCCTCTTTTGTGACTTTTGTGTGTTCCCATGGTGTGTCTGCTGTATGTGAATGTGTGTGTGTGTGTGTGTGTGTGTGTGTGTGTGTGTGTGTGTGTGTGTGTGTGTGTGTGTGTGTGTTTGTGTGTTGTATCTGCACAGTTAACTATTGAAAAAGACAACCTCAAAGAGGCTCAGGCACTCATCAAGGAATGTGAAGCCAAGGTGGGTGTCCTCTTTGCATGCATGGCCCTTTTACATGATCTCACATTTAATCACCATTAAATCAAAGGTTGTGTGGTAACTCATTTGGATTGTTTTGATTCAAAACCTTTATCTGAAAAAAATAAAGACTCAAACTGATTGGGCGACTGATTTAGTCACCTCTGTTCTTCTCTTTGTCATACTCCATGTTGAACAGAATTATTCAAAGCTTTTGCGTGTTTGACGTGCTTGAAGATTCAAGTTATAAGTGCCATGAAATCATCTGCAATGCTTCTTTTCTTCATACGCAACAGAGAGATCTCAAACTGTCAAACTAAATCAATGTTATAAATGTTTGCACTGGTTTGACACCACACTTGATGAAATACTTAGTGTGTTCAAATTAATCATCCATTAAAAAAAGATCACATCAAAAAAAAGCCCTCTTTTCAAAGACATTTATTCTGTTGTAAGCAGATGAAATCTATTGTCAACTCTATAGGTTTTTTTTAGGTTTTTTTTTAGACAACACACATTTCCTCCTCGTCTAACGCAATTTTCATAAGTAAACACTTTGTGATTGAATTCTCTATCAGAGATGAGACTGGGGCATAGATTTAATCACATAGCGTTCAGAGTTAATTACCTGCCAATGCTGACCTCCCCATTGACTCCAGAAGACTATGAATCCAAATTGGATGGGTTGGATTTCATATTAGTCCTGACTTTTACTTAAATCTGAAGCTCCAGATGGGTTCAGAGAAGCCAAAAAGCATTAGAACAAGTGCACAAGCTTTTGAGATAAAATATACCACATGCATGATGATATATACATATTAGAACTCAACACATAAAACAGAAGCATATATATAAAGCCGTTGATGGATTTAAAAATACATTCAAAATATAATGCGGTAGGATGTACAATAGCTGTGTTTCTAAATATGTATGTCAGTAGATTTGTGCATGTATTTTGTATTCTGTGTTTGCTTGTTCAGACGTAGACAGTAACACATACACATGTAGAGGCTACATTATCACACTGCAAGCGTGATGCTGCCCAATGGGAATTCAGTATGAAATGACCATTATAACTGAAGTCATGATACACCATTGTAACATGATTTACATTTATAACACTTACACACTTTTTCTTTTTCATTTTGTTACCTGATAAGGAACACAGATGGCAGTGATATTGGATCCCTAGGGTTCTGTCTAACAATGGACTGATTACTATTGGATAAATCAGCGTGTGAGAGCGGTAGAGAGAGAGAGAGAGAGAGAGAGAGAGAGAGAGAGAGAGATAAAGACACGAGGGCCCTTGCATACAGAAACAACTGCGCTCTAATTTAGCAGCTAATTTGCTTCCATTCTCTCAAATTAATCTTAAAAGAGGAAGCGGGCCATGGAGGGCTGCAGATTGACAGACATGTAATCATTCGTTGTGGATATACACCGAAGGGCTCTGGGTGATATATGTAAGAAGCTCCTTGCAGAACACCTTCTTAATTTTAGCCCTAATAAACAATTTGCCGATGCCATTATGTAATGAAACACAACTTAATGCCTGTCAATATGAAGCCTATCACATTTAACGCACACAATCAAGTGACTGGGGGGAAAGCCTGGAGCGGGGAATTGGTTTTGGAAGTGGAAGTGGAAATGCTCATCGGCGAGATCTGGCATTTAATCAGCTTTATAAATCTACGCCTGTCTAATCTTGAATGTCTGTAATTTTGTATTTGCATAACTTTTTCCTACACATTTTTCAGTTGGCATTATCACTGACTACCTGACTACCTGTGTATGTGGTGTGTGTGATAGTGCAGACATGTCGCAGGACAGATAGACGTTGCCTTATCAGCCTCAGGTCTAATTACTTCCTGTCTGCTGTTTAATAGCCTGCCATTGTGAGGGCTCATGAAAAAGATTTTGATAAGAAAGCAACTTTCTTATCTTTTGTACATTAAAACAGTAGTATATTATAGGTCTGACAACATTCTGCTCAGACTTTTCATTAATATCCACAGGGGTTTACAAAAACAACACACAGGTCACAGTGTGGCCACTCACACTCACTTGTAAAGCAACAGTTTGTTTTTGTTTGTTTTCTGGCTTTATGGTTAAAATTAACGAATCACTTATTATAAATATATGGATGATTCAGAAGTTATTATGGTCAGTTTGACAAAATAATTAATTTCATAAAAGAAGAAAATAGAACAAATGCAAAACAGGTGAGTTATTAAAGATGAAAAATGCCAAGACACTTGACTGAAATAAGTAAAAAGTCTTGATTCAATTTGCTATTTCATCATCAGAAATGTTCAAAACAAGGTAAGTCATCAAGAAGTTGGGTATCAACCCACGCGTAGTGGCACAAGCAGCCTCCTTCAGGGTGTACTCAGCACACAAACAGCCACTTAAATACATACCAGATAATTAAGCGCACCTGGCAGGAGGGGAGAAGGGTACAATCACCAAATAACCCCCAACACATGCAAAAACAGGAAAATAAGGGAACTACTGTAAATAGGTAGGAAAATGTACACATAAAGAGACACTATTACAAATGAGAAGGAAACAGCAGTATAAAGAGCAAAAGAACAAACAACAAAGAAGCAGATCATACAGCTGCAATAACCAAGGCACCAACTGTTCTGATAAATCAAACATGTTGAGTATGAGCTGCAACACTGCTAATGTCAAACAGTTGATATTGTACACAACCATACTGTCAAGGCCTTTTCCTAATCTCAAAAACTTTGTACAGAGTCAATGTTTTTTAGTCACCAAAAAACACACAATTACCCTCATCAGCGAAACCATTTACTCTATATGTGAAGATATACTTCACTCAAGTGTGCGTTCAATTTACACATTTTAGACATTTTGACGTCTTATTTATTTTAATGCCCAACATTGCAACCTGTCACTTTATAAAATGAGAATTATTTGCCAATTAGTAGAGATTATCTTCAACCGCTAATTCCACTTTGTTGATCCCAATGCATGCATCATGTTAACATGTGGTAGTGTCAATAAACGCCATCACCAGTTTGTACATCCATGTTGGAGCTAGGTGTTGCCAAAAACTCTTTCAAAGCAGTCTTTTTCTGTAATTTAACAAGCTTAACTTTTTAAAATGAATCTATGATGACCATAATAAAGTTATTATTTCAATTAGACTATATCTGGTTATATAATATAGGAAAAATAATCTCACTGAGACTCAGACAACAACCATAGAGTTCTGAATTAATTCATTCTTGTTTTTTAATTTTTATTTAAAAGACCCAGAGCCCAGTCAACTTGGCCAACACATTCACAAAATGTGCTGCCAATATGCTTTCATGTTCTCTTTTTGGCTCGTTAATTTGTGACAGCAATGTAGATGGCCTTCTCTCTTAACTTGTAAGAAACACTTACTGAACCTGGAAACATTAGCAATATACCCTGCAACAAGTTTGTAGACTGTTTTTTTTTTTTTACACATACCCTTCCCTTGTCAAATCCTGTGGCAAATAACTTATACACCAACAATTATAAAACAAAATAAACTGCTTGAATGGTACAATCCAAACATTTACACTTTTGACTGTTACATCAGATCGGGGCCCGGTCAGTGTGTAGACCATCATTTACATTTCTTCCCTATATTTGCAGATTGCAGCCGGTCCATCAGCAACCGGAGCGCCACCTCCACCACCTGTACCAGGGGGTGCAGCAGCTCCACCCCCTCCCCCACCGCCTCCTCCACCACCTCCACCTGGTGGCTGTCCTCCCCCACCTCCACCTCCTCCTCTCCCTGGCCATGCCGGCATGCCACCGCCACCACCACCGCCTCCGCCACCTGGAGGAGGACCTCCACCTCCCCCTGGTTGTGGACCCCCACCTCCTCCACCTTTCTTCGGGGGCCCAGGTGGGCCTCCCCCACCTCCTGCACTGCCTGTTATCAAGCTGCCTTATGGACTGGAGCCCAAGAAGGCCTACAAGCCTGAAACGGTGATGAAGAGGGTCAACTGGACTAAGGTATGCTTACCTAAGATATGTATGGATATTTTCAAGATAATGGACTATAATATAAAGGGAAACATTATTCTATAACACATGTGAATTTTAATGCAATCTCTTTACAATCAAGCCAGCACTTAGCACTTGCCTCTGAGAGGTTTTGAATTAACCCGTCACTCAATATAGATGCAAAGTTGAAGATCAAAATAAAAATGCGCTCTTTTCAAATATATTCAAGGCAAACAATCTTTCAGGTATGGTTACACTATTCCACTCCGGGGAATCATTTCAAAGCATACAACAGTAAACAATTTTCATAGCTTAAATGTCCTTGATTTTGCACATTCTGAGCATAATTGAATGAAGACTGGGTTGTGAAACGTACCATCACATTTGAATACAATTTCAATCAGACATTCTCTTGCATGTGAGCTTTATTTTACTACAGATAATTTATCCAACACCTCAGGACTTCTTGGCAATAATTTAATGGTTCTTTGCCGATGCTTGTGTGACCTTGTGTTCAAGCCCTCAATTACTGACAACAACCAAAACGTCAGACTAGTGCTTTTGACATCATATTTAGTGGTGCATATTTTATTTAATGCTCTTAGTGGAATGAAGTTATGTTCTCAAAAGGAATTTTGAACGAGATTTCTCTGTGTGTTGAAGGTGATGTAGTTATGGCTTCACATTCTGACATTTTTTAAGTAAACAAATGGAGAATGTTGTGTATTCTGCAGTAAGTTATATATCCACCATCAAGTTACTAAATTACACGCATAAATGATAGAAAGACATCTCCAAATGCAAGTCTGTGTTGACTATTGCATTATACTGTAAGCACCACATTACAGGTCGCATTTCTGTCACCTCAAGGACTCTTTAAAATGCCAGTATGTAAATGCATGACTCTGTGTGGGAGTTTCCTGAGCAGTAAGGAAAGATATTAATAGTCATGTGGAAGTATGAAATATCAATCCTGTTGTGCACACCGAATTGTGCAGCCATATTTCTGCCATGATATTTTAGAATATAATTTGCCATTTTTTTTTGGGAATGTGTATAGTGTGTATATAATTTGTGTGCAGTGTGTCTAGAAAGCAGAAACGAGTTAATGTGCAGGAGCATTAACCTTGCCTCCACAGGAATTGTAGTTTGGTGATGCAAATGAAATTCATAACCACCTGAGGAAAAACAATCTGTGTCTCTTGTGCCGATTAAGTGGGACAAGAGTCGTCTGTCTTCTCTCTGTGCAGCAGATGGAAGTAGGGGACTTCCAGGAGCAGCGATAGATGGGCTGCATAAAGAAGTTGTTATTTAGAGATACTTGATATTTTCCATACCTTCATCCCCTCTATCCACCATCCCACGCATGTCTGACAAGAGTATGAGTCAATTAGATTTCATTGAGAGAAACAGGACTTTTATATTATTGTGAACTAAAAAGGTATGCAGTTATTTCCATACAATTGAGTTTAATATGTAGTCGCCTGGGCAACTGAAGGTTCTTGTTTCCTTACCTGTAAAAATCTGACGACTACTTTCATACTTCAAACATATCATCTACCCTATGCTAACATACAGTGTATAAAGTGACATCTTTACACTGACTGTGGGCAGCTTTTAACTGGGACATAGGACTATTTGTACATTTTCAACTGCTGTACAAGTCCTCTAGTCAAGCTGGAGATGGCATAGCATTCTCAGTCAGAAGCAGTAACACAAGGCACTCACAGGGGAGAAGATTGGCTCAGGCACACACTGGGAAATGTCAGCTTTGTTTAAGTACTAAATGCATTTTAAATCAGCTTGAGTTATTTCTTCCCTCAGTGTACTTCCACATTTGTATCAGTGATTCCCGCTAGAAATTATTAGTGAAGATTAAGCATGGGACTGTCCAAATGCCAAAAATACACAAAACACATGCATTTGTGTCTATTTTGTATGCAAAGCCCATGAAAAAATAAGATTCATATAATCTCACCGTGCTAATTAAGGATATCTGTAAACATATGGGAACGGTGGAACAAAAGGCAACAGGGATGCAATGGGATTTAGAAAATAAAGTCTGTAACATTAAAAAAAAAAAGCTCCTTATTTAACTCAACATCAAATCAGTAAGGGAAAAAGTTACTAATTCCTACACTCAAACATAGCGATGATATCTTTGTTTTGGTTGAGTTCATCAGAAAATCCCAGCTAAACTATTGTTTAGTGGCGGTATTAAGTGTGTTTGTATTCTATTTTTACTACACAACTAATGACTTATTTGGTCATTCAGTTTGTCAACATTATTTACAAGACAGCTCTTGGTTCATCAACAATTTGTTACAGACATGGATAACAAAGATTGGGTTGTTTATTTTATGATGACTTTTGTAAAAGCCAATTTAACTTAATTATCGTTCATTTGAGCGGATAACTTAGTTGGTCACTTTATAACACTTAATAATTTTAGTCATACATCACTGAAAGAAAAATCTTCATCATCTGCAGTTACCTATAACCAGAGACATCTGATAAATCTTGCAAGTGTGCCACAGGGCACTGGTCTCAGCCCCCTTATTTTCTCATTGGACATGCCTTTATTTACCAGTATATAGATAGTCTCATGTAACATTACCAAATTGTATATATATATTTTTTTTATCAAATGTACATGGCAATCATTTTTTTCTGAATATTCCAAATCAATATGTACATTTATATTGCATCTTTATCATCAGAAATACATTTGGACAAATCATTTAGGGTTTCTTTGTGACTTTTTAGTAAATTTGCTTTATATTCAGGACCTCAGGGAAGAGGTACTGATGTCTGACTGAACAGGCAAGTTTGAATGTTTTGTTCCATTATCTTCAAAAGATAATGTTTTGTATTACTGTGCACAATCCCAAATCATAAAAACTAAGGTAGTTTCGTTTCTTTCTTATTTTTCTTTTCCTTTTTTTTGTCTCACTATGAACTATTTTATAGGGCTAAAAAATGATTTTTCTCAACTTACTGATAAAGATTTAGGGGGAAAAATCAGTATGGGACATATTATTATCCCGCCTCAGAACAACAAGATAATAAGCTTCCACATTTGAAACATAGACAGCAGGCTTAAACTTTATAATTTGAAAATAAATTAAATTTATGTATTTTTTTTACTTAAATGTTTATTTGTAACATTCATTTTTCAAGCACAGCATCATATAGATATAGTATCAAATGCTTTACAGAGTAAGAACACCAGGTAATATGTTAATAAGCAAATAATGACAGGTGGCATTCATACATTATCATCTACACAGACACACAGACGCACAAAACGTTAAAAGCTACAATCAATACACTCGTGCAAATATCAAATCTACAGGACTTTTCAGGTTTGAGCTGCATATACGTCAAGTGCTCTCTTAACTGAGAGAGAATATTTGCCCTGTGAGCAGCTCATTTATGATCTGTGTAGGCCAGGAGCAATAGTCAAGCCTGTAATGAGCAACATTTTTAAAACTGGGGTGATGATTTTCTTTACTCTTGTCAGAGATCTGTCATAAGGTTTGAGAGGAAGTATTTCCAGGCTATTTTATTTTGGAATTCAGCAGCACAGATTTTCAGACCAATCTTAAGATTGTTTTCTTCATCTCCTCTCACTTATAGCAGTCCTAAGTTCTAATTTGCAATGTTTCTTAATGGAACTTACATTTTCCTGGAAAATACTCTAGTTTTCAGTTGTTTACCAGTCTCTCTGTTTTCTGTGAAATTGTAGTTAAAAGCAGCAACAAGATCCTCGCAGTAAGTGTAAGAAGGTGATGATAGAGTGTGTGGCACAGAACAGAAATGGTGATGAATATTTCATTGGAGTTGTCACTGATGTACCAGCAAATTCTACTTGCAACAACACTTTTTTGTGTGGCACAGTAATGATACAAAACAGCAACAAAAGAGTACTAATGACTCTAACATCTTCCTGGGAGATCAACGGAATGGACTGATTGATGCACGGTGAAACAGGTCAAAAGGACGAAGCAGGTTAATGAAAAAGACCCTTTAAAGATGATTATGCTGATCTGGAAGTTAAAAATGTATTATTTCTAACTGCGATCATAATGGTAATCATTCCAGTCTAACAGAATGTTTAAAATGTTTCTTTTTTTAATGGTCTGGCAGGCATTCTTAGTAAAAGGGAGCAAGCTTTGTGAATACTTTCTTGCTTCACTTTTAGTTAAATATAACTGGAGTTTGTTGGCACATAAAGTCAGCACTCCATCTCTTCAATTGATAGGTAATGTGAATAATGACACATAGTTAAGTAATGATGGGTTTATTAATATTTAAAAAAATATATTTTACTGTAAGTGCTGGTATCCTTTTTATTTTCAGAACACTCTGTACGTGCCCGAGTATACTATTTATTATATTACCGGTATTATTATTGTTAGATTTAAAAAAAAATATATATTTAACCAGTTAACTAACCAATTGAGATCAAGATCTCTCTCAGTAGGGTGACAGTTTTCTTATTGTATTTATTATCATCATGTTTTTACCATTATCATTACTTTGATATATTATATTATATTAGCATTATTGGAAATAATATTATTAGTATTATCATCATTATAATTATGATTATTATTGTTTTACAAATTAAGACTTTTTGACGTTAGGATTGAAATCATCATTAAATGTTTTTCTGCATCATGTTTTTTTTTTTTTTGTAGTACAACTCTCCTGAATGAGGCTGTCACAGACATGACACAAACAGCTTTCTAGGACTTTTGAGTGGTTGGCATGAGAGCAAATAAGCGCACAGAGTCACTTTGCTATCGACACTCAGCGCCAACAACCCCTTCACGTTGAAAGTTTCATAAACGTTCCATTAAGGCACCTATTAACGCCACAACAGAAGTCTACGGCACGGTCACACTTATTGCGGTTACTGTATGGCCTTGGGAATTAGTGCCCAGCATCTGCTGAAACTCACTTGTCTGCATTGCATAAGTGTTGCACTTAAACCTCTCCCTGTGTGTGATTACCGCGGTTTTCAAGAAGGTTAACGGCAGCGACGCAAGAGGCCAAGTGCAAGCCCACGTCTTGCTAAAACACTACAACAGTGTCATACTAAGAGCTCTTAGCATAGCACTTCATCCAATGTACAGCAGATATACTGTCGTGTGGTGTCACACGCTTAATTAGCTAGCAATGAAAGCAAAATATAGGAGTTCATGTGTAAACTCCTCTCTCCATTGTTTACTGAGAGGTGTGGAGGGAATGGAAGAGAAAAAGGGAGAAATCATCCTCATGGCCTGCTATCACAGCTCTGTATGTGTCATGTAGGGGGTTCAGGGTTTTTTGGAAGTTTTGCTGTGTCGGGGGAATTGAAGCAGGAGTAGTGTTAAAAAATGGACCATCAAATATTTCACTCATCTCAGGACAGGTCATGTGAGTGTTGGCCACAGTTCAGTATGGAGTGCAGACTTTTCAGTCGAGGGTTTCAGTAGACTGAACCCACGTGGTCATTCAGTGGGCATTTTTTGGGTCCACCTCAGTAGACTGAACATTTCAGCATGGATGCTAACTTCCCGGGTTTGTGCAGTATGGTTTGGATGCGTCCTTTCAGGAGATGAGTTGTATTTTAACACCCACAATGCTGTGTGAAATTAAATATGAAACGTCACTTCACGTGCACCTCCAAATCGAAACAAACGAGGATGACAAAAAAAACAAAACCAAAAAAAACGAGGATCGATGCGGCCAGTTCGGGTAACGCGCCTCTCAAATGTTAAGGTGTTAAATTGTTTACATGCAGTGTATTGTATTATTTAGTCACTATTCACATCTGAGTTGGAGTGTCAGTAACATGAGGCAGGCTGATGAATCAGACGAAGTAAGAACAAATATCTGCCTACTGTGCGCGCTTAATGAACAGTAGCTCCTAGCGGTATACAGCAAGGATAGAAGAGACTGTCTATTGTCAGATTGTGTAGGCACTTTGCAATTCGGAAGCACACTTGGTGTTTTCAGGCTAAGTGATTGTCCTTTTCACACATCATGTATTTTTGCCAATCATATGATTTGCGATCACACAACATTTTTTTTGGAGCTTGTTTTTGCTACTCAGATGCCAAAGATGCACACAAGGGCATCTGTGTGTCCGAACACCAAAAAAAGAAAACACAGACACACACACAAACCCCATCTCCAGTGAAAGAGAACTTTTTGAGTGGCAGCTTGGTGGAATGGCGGTCTCTGATTGTGTTGATAATGAAATCCTTGTGTCATTGCAGATAGTGCCTCAGGAAATGGCAGAGAATTGCTTCTGGATCAAAGTCAAAGAAGAGAAGTTTGAGAATCCTGACCTATTTGCTCAGCTCTCCCTCTGCTTCTCGTCGCAGAGCAAAGGTAAGAAGGCGTCATCTCTCTTCGAACCCCCCCCCCCCAATTAATCTCCACACACTTGCTTCGTTTAGCCTCTAGGCAACAGACGCCAAGCCACTTTCATCTCGTGACTCTTTAAGAAACCATTTTTCTCACTGAAATGTTAATTATCCTTAAAAAAAAAAAAAACAAGAAATCTTTCCACTGCATTTGAACACCATCTATGTTTGTTCTCAAGTCAAATCTTTGTGCCAATTAGGGCTACCGATGCTCTCACTGCAGTGTTTGTTTGTGTCTTTGAGAAAGCTTGAAATGCACTGTGACTGCTCATTGTTTTGGCTCTTGGTACACATTGAGTAGTTTCAAATCAGTGATTTTGCAAGGCACGTGGGTGTGCACAAACTTGAACTCGCACATAGATACGTGTGAACTGAGAGCAGTTATGCTCGGTTTGCTTCTTGCCTTTTTCCAGTCCAGTAGACCAGTCCTCCATCAGGGAAGAGGGGAGGCTGCTGTGATGGAAGCTCGGGGAGTTCTCTTGTCCCGGCCAGTTTGTTTCTCGGATACACAACCAAGGCTACCTAACTTGCTGATGAATAACACAAGCAGTACAGAGCAAGTTTGTTTGTTTTTTTTTACATGTGGAAGAGGGTGTGTGAAGGCACTTGATATATTCCTCCCCATGACAATTTGAGTGTTTTTCCACTTCTTTGACAGTGTGCGTGAGTGTGGTACAGTCCTTGTATTCTAGCAGCAGTGGGAGGGGAGAAGTCAGAGAGGCCTGTCAAGCGCCAACTAGTCAAATCTGAGCACTAGCAGGGTGTGTGGACATAGCTATAAAGAGTCCTCCAACTTTTCCCCATATACCCAGTGTCTGTTTGGATACCAGTCAGCCCGCCTACAGCTTCTTCCTTCGTCTTTCTCACAGCCTCCAGGTCTACAAACTCGGCTCGTCTTCCTTTTTTGTTCTGCGAAGTAAATAGCAATTTTTGCCTCGGCTGCCCCAAGGTGATTTTTCAGCGCAATACAGATTTAGGGAAAGAAAAAAAAAAACAGTATGAGGGAGTTTTGATGAAGTGTCTGGGACCTTTCTTTAACCAGAGGATATCCGTCACAGTTTTTTCAAGGAACTGACAGATATACTTTTGACATATTTGTAATATTTATTCATTTCTTTTTTTTTCATGTCTTTGACTTGATTCATATATTCTCACTGGGGGAGATAGACATAATATTTAGTGTCAGTAAATCATCAATATGTTTGCAGAGAAACTGCTGCCATAAAACACATTTTTCGCATGGATTCCTCACATGAAATACAACTTAGCATTTGGCTTTCCACAGAGCAGTTTTAATTCGGCTTTAAATGTCCTTTTAAATCATTTATTAAATTCACTTTCTCACCCACTGGGGATGAAAAAAAAAAGTGCTATAGATAGTTCATGTTCCCACTGGCACAGTAGGAATTCATGATCCAGCATTTCCCCCAGGAGTTACCTTTGCTGGATCCCTATCAATTACCCCTGCAGCGACTTCACTGAATCAGCTCTTTTTCCCTCTATTGTTGAAACAGAACATGATTTTCTCATGAATGAAAAATGCTGTTTAATGTTTGATATCTCCCCCCCCCCACACACACACACACACACACACACACACACACACACACACACACACACACACACACACACACACACACACACACACACACACACACACACACACACATCCCCGTCAGTGAAGTTGAAAGTCAATGAGAAGGGCTTTGATGTGGATGGTATCGAAAAAAAGGTGCTTGATTGGATCTTCCTAAAAGTCTAATTGGTTGTTCATTAGTTTTTCCTCTCTGTTTATCATTCAGGATGGTCAGTCTTCTAAACATATATCATTTGAGGACATTTCATTATATGTAAACATGAAACATATTCTCAAAGAGAATCCCGCCTTTTTGTAAGCATTAAGTCTGACCTATTTGGGCAGCAAGTCTCCTTCATTTGAGGTCAACTTGGTTCGCTGGTGTCGGTGTTTTAAAAGCAGTGAGGTTAAAGCGGTGGGGGGGGACAGACTTGCAAGATTAATTCCTGGGGTCTTGTACTCTCATTGTAACCTCTCAGTGTAACCACGGGCCATAAATCCTTCGTGCTGATTTGACAAACCAGTCACTGGTGAACACCAACTTCATTTGTCTGCGATATTGCCACCGTTGTTCATATCACACCCACACACACACCCACACACATACCCACACACACACACACAGACACACAAACACACATACACACTTGTTGGTTTTGTCCTCCGCTTCATTGCGGTACCTCCATCTTTGCCACATCTGAGGCGTGGATATTTATAAGTTGAGCGCACTTCGCGGGGGGGGGGGAGACGACTAGTGTATCGTGAAAGATGAGGCAAGCAGGTGTAAATGCCTTCCCTGCAGAGCTGCCCTCAGAAAATGGTGCAAAAAAAAAAGCTTCTGTTAACTTGGCTTTCCCCGGGATTCTTGCTTGTTACTTGCATTGTTGAAGAACAACACTTAAGCAGTAAAAAACAAAAAAAAAAAAAAAGAAAGAAACAAAATCCCTTTAACAGCCCCCAATTTTCAGATGCTTATTGCGCTCAGAGGCCTCTAAAACAACTGAGAAGGCAGGACTGTCATCTCCCCTGCTGCTTTTATGAGTCTCACTGTTTAATGAGTTTCTCCAAGAAAAGGAAATGATAATCAAGAGGGATTTCAAGCTCGGCTTCAATCTTCTAAAAGTGGCTTTTTTATCTCTCTCAGTCATTTATTATAAAATGGCTCTTTGGCCTGATTGAAAATTCAACACATATGTCAGTTATTACGCACTCTGAAGCCCAAAGAAATGACACCGATTAAGTCGCACTGGAAACTTCATGTGTCTCGCTTAAGTACGGCACAGGAAACCACGTTTCAAAGATACGCAAATAATAATGCTTTGAAAATCACATCGGACATTTCTAACTTAACAACTGTATGAATCAACATCGTCCACTGCAGTGAATTCAGTGTTTGTCATGAAATGCCAGAAAAAAACATGTGGATTTAAAAGAGAAACTACCTTAACATCCCTGTAAGTTCAGCATAACCCAGGAATTAAGATGAGCAAAATACAAATGCAAAACTGAATTCAATTGAAATAAGTTTAGATATCTGTATTATTAATTCAACATTTATAGTTGTGGTTAATTGCCACATTTCTGAAAATAAAGCTGAAACTCTTAAAAAAGCAAAAGCAACAAAACATTTCTCAGTTATTTATCTGTTTTGTCAACTTTTAAAGGGGTAACAAATATACACAAATGTTATGGTGTTTCGAACAGGTAATATCATTCAAAATCTAAAGTGTTGTTCACCTGAAAATGCACTCAACTGTCCCAGCTGTAGGGGAAAGAAACTGTGATCTTTGGTCATATAATGTACATTTTCCAATATGAAGGAACAGTGATTCATCCCACCGGTTTTAGTAAAAAAAAAACTTTTGGAAACATGAACTTTGTTCGTAATATGGTTTAATAACATCCATACAACTCTTATATTTAGGTGTTTTTGATTGAACTTGGCACATTTTTTTCTGATGTAGGGAAATATAATATAATCTACTGTGAGAGGAATATGTGTTCCACTTAAAGCTACATGACACTCACTGAAGTCAAAGCAGGTATTTCAGCTTTGGAGCCTTCGAGTGCTTCATGATTGGAAAATCTTCCCCACTATACGCACACACACACACACACACACACACACACACACACACACACACACACACACACACACACACACACACACACGAGAAGAGCTGATGTGTAACCAGTGACACACATCTCTGTTTGATCAACACAGTTATTCACCTCTTTTGAAGTTGTGTACGAGCCACTGAATGAACATCTCGGCCACCTCACAGTTTTTTTTGTTTTTTTTTTAAATGTCCCATTTTTTCCCCTCTCATGCTTTCTTTCTCTTGTCCTTTCTCCTCTTTTCTATCTTTTCATAGTTGTATCGGCTATTCCCCCCCTTTCTTCACCTTCCTCCTTTGACTTGGCTCGCTCTTCTTTTGTTCTTTTACCCTCATCTCTACTCAGTTCGCTTTATCAATCAGTGGGTTGTGCCTTTGTACGGCTCTTTGGGATCAAATCAGATTCACTTCGGGATTGAATGTGTGTAGCCATGGCCTGCTGCATTTGAAAGGCAATTCATTCAGCTGGAACTTTGCAGTTCAATTTGAAACAAGATTGATGTTGGCAAACTTCACACCCCCTTTTCTTCCAAAATGTTTCCTCCATTGCACACACCAATTGCTGATGGACAAAGGGCATATGCCACTTTGTAATGGTGATGTGTGGGCTTCTCAGCAGCAACACAACAAAAAATAGGGCGTTTCCTCGACTACTGAAATCCCTGGATAAACTGTATAACTTTATTCCACAAACAACTTGTGATATATTCTGTAAATATCAATCGTCTGATGAGGATTTTTGTACAGTTTTGTACAAACAATAAATATATGCACTGCAGTCATGTTGTTAATATCAATATATCACATCTGTTTCAAGATTGCCTCAAGGGGAATGTTAAATTTGTGTAATCTCCAGATACATTCAATCAATGGTTTGAAAGTTAATGACACTTATATGTCTGGAGAGAGGGAGAGAGATGAGGCAGGGGTCAAATAAAGATCCATGTAAAGCCTTAAGGAGGAAATGCAGGCTCCTGTCCAGCCCTCTGAGCAGGGTCATTGGGACTTCCTTTCCCAGCATGCTTCTGTGTTATTGATGCTGAGGCAGCTAATGAACATGCTTGTGGTGAAAAAGGCTGGAGGGGACAGGGAGACACATCATCAAACCATAAGAGCACCTTTTCAGCACACTGAAGATTGGAATAGAGATTAAGGCAAAGAGCAATGAAGTTAATGTGTAGGAGTGAAATATCAAGGGAGTTCTTTGCCTGAGAAAAAAATTAGGCAGACCCTTTGCACATCATTTCAGGTATTCTCTGATGTGTCTTTGAT